ATGTGTCCGTGAAAAACCGATGTCTGCCAATTCACGTGTTATGTTGAGACCGGCACGGAAGGATGTTCTACCTTCTCACCATGTCAGTTCGCTAATTTACCAATTCAAATGTCAGTGTGACACTGACTATGTCGGAAAAGCGGTCAAAGGCTGGAGGCACGGATAAGTCAACATGTACCAGTCAATATTCTCATAGTCCTGGGTATGATGATAAACTACATCCAGCAGCAAGGTTTCTGATCGAGAGATTGGAGGTTTTCAGGAACCATCTTTTAATTACTGTTATTCCCAGTTCTAGGCTGATTCGGGGTGGTAACATTTGTCAGGGTCCAGTTATGCGTAAATAATGAACCTTCAAATAAAGAAAAAAACACAATGCAGGTATAAAGATACATTTTTCTAGTAAAAATACCAGCGTTTAATTTTTCTATATAAAAATGACCAAGAATACATTTTATCTGTATTTGGAGGCATACAATTGCGTTCCAAATATATTTACTTTAAGCTATAACATTGTTGTAGCATACCTACGGACGATAATGGGTATGTCCCCATTCACATAAATAAAGTAGTAAATACTGTATGTTGGTCTGCATTCGGAGATTCGTCACCAGCTGTGCTGGTCAAACTCTCTGTTTCTGGGCAGAGAGGATCCCCAGACGAGGCTACATCGAAAGGTAGAGTCTCATCTCGGGAAACCATTACTCGACCCCGTTTTTGGCCGAACCTACGTGCTCGGATACCCCCACATTAAATTAGGCCTTTTGCCACATCTGATGGCGTGGGGCGGTTGGTTGATATCCTGCAGTTGGAGATTCGTCTCCGACTGTGCTGATCAATCTCTCTGCCTCCAGGCAAAGGGGGATCCCCAGACGAGACTCTGTCGAAAGATAGAGTCTCGTCTTGGGAAACCGCTACCGACTCTGTTTTATACGGGGTCTACGGGGAATTTATGGCCGAGCCTTGATTGTGGAATTCACTTGACTCACTTCTAGCAGTTGACTACTTCTACGCTTATATGTGTTGTTCTTGTCCTAAGTATTATCGTCCATTAACGACCTTCGTTTGATTATTCTATTCAGTAACCTTCCCTAAGTTACAACATTGTGTTCGAAATATATAGATTTCAGCATTAAATAACCCATAGAGTTTGATATGCCGCTATACAAAATCTACAAACAACCAACATGAAAGAATCTTATGATATTAATCTATATAATATTCTACAATTTCTTAAAACTATCAAATTGTATTCCAAAATATAACTTCAACAAAACTACAACTTAAAACACAACTGTCACCTCCTCTAGTAATTATATCCATGCAAACATGTATATGCATAAAACTTGAGCATTATCTACCATGTACTCACTTGTGAAAGCAGAACAACTTACATCATATTATTATTACTTCAAAACTGCCAAGAAAATTAAATTTCGGGATTAAATGACCCATAAAGTGTTGATATGCTTTTAAATAAACAAAACAAACAATATTCGCAAGGGTAAGGTGGCAAATATGCATAGGTACGTGAATAGAAGATGTTCAGCGAAACTACCCATATGCACAGTCATACAGCCAAAACATGTGTCCTTAGTAGCGATGAAAGATAATACTAAATTTAATTTGCAGGTGTTGGAATCTGTTTATATTAAGTCCTACCAGACATCTCTCTGGAAGTAGACTGTATGCTTTGTAGGCTTAAAGGTTATTAGCCTGTACGTGTCGTATTTTTATATAACATTTAGTCTTTGGTGTTCATTTTCAGATCTTGTGTACATTTTTTGTCCTCGAGGACTGATAAACAGGTTCAGTTGTCGTTTTTGTTGCATTTCGATATGACCAATTCAGAGTAATAATTTTATTACTTCTCTTTTTTTGGTATTAATATTTTCATGTAACGTCTCTGTTTTTGTCTCTTCAATATATATTTTTTTAACGTTGCAAAAATATTTCTATTAACAAAATATATTTATGTAAACAATTAGCGAATATTAATTTTGTAGAGATGTCCTAAAGCAAGGAAGACTAATTCGACTTTCGTGATCCATCTCCAAGAATACGCCACTCCTTTGTAGGAAGAGGAAGAGGCCAGAGGATTTCATAATGTCTACAATTACAACCGCAGGGCTAATTGTTATTCAGACTTCAATCACTTTCAGTGGACGAATTGAATAAATACCTGCGGTTGCTAAGAGAAAACTAAGCACGTATAAAATCGAATTGTATACTTATTTACTATATTTAACTTCTTCAGACATAGGCGATGAGAAAGCCAATCGTATATATAATAACAGTAAGAGGAAGGGGAAGAGAGAGAGAGAGAAGGAAAGAGAGAGAAAGAGAAAGAGAGGGAGAAAGAAAAAGAAAAAGAGAGAAAGAGAGAGACAAAGAGAGAGAGAAAATGAGAGAAAGAGAAAGAGAGGTAGAAAAAAGATATAGAGAGAAAGAGCGAGAGAAAGAGAGAGAGAAAGATAAAGAGAGAAAAAGAGGAGAAGAAAGAAAGGAGAGAGAGACAGGCACAAAGAGAAGTCGTCATCGCAGTGATGTACAAGATGGCTTGATTTCTGGGACTATCCAAGGAAAGATGTACAAATACTTCACTTACGATAAAGGCCTATCAATTAGGTTTGTGTGTGTGTGTGTATATGTTTGTGTGTGTTTGTGTGTGTGCATGTTTGTTCTGTTTTTGATAAATAGAATCTGAATAAGTTGTAGAAATTTACATAAAAAAACTCTGAAATTTTTTTTTTAGCAGACGTAAGAACCACACCCGTGGAGCATTCCCATAATACTGAACTCACAGCACAATTTGTCTCAACAGAATCGATGTCTAATTTTTATCTACTCTCTTGTAAACCAGACCATGGTTCATCTATAGTGTAAAACGAACTCACGTCTAATTTTTTTAGCTCTCGTGTAAATTGGACTCATGTCAACATTTTTGAACTATAGTGTAACCTGGAAATCTATCTATATACCTAAAAGGTGGCCACTGGTATACGAGGATAACCGTCGACGAGGGGGAGGGGGCTATTGCAGAGGCTCGCTCAAGCACATTTGTGTTTGTTCAACACCCTGTAGTTTATAGTGCAACTATACTTAGCACACCTTAGTTACAGTTTTTGGGAGAGAGTGTGTTATTTAGCCTGATCAAAAATGGGAACAAGGGCATCACACTCAAACCTTCTGTCACGATGACTCAAGTGTTCCGTCTGTCCATTTTCACTCACAAGGTTTTGGGTTTAACCCGTGGTATGGTTTTCAGGCACTTTTCAATAGTACCGCAGGTTGGGATTGCCTCCTCCTGACCGATAACATCAGGAAGTCTCCTGGGTGAGAAAACAACCGTGGTGAGAATCGAACCCGGATCTTATGGTCAAAAAGCGAATCTTCTAGCCACGCCTATATATATATATATATATATATATATATATATATATATATATATATATATATATATATATATATATATATATATATATATATATATATATATATATATATATATATATATATATATATATAACAATGATTTTCTAGATACGCCCTATTATTTAAACTATAGTTGGCGTATTCGACGTTAAATGTCGAAATAATGATTGATAAACGTTTGCTCCCAAAACTTCCTTATTTGCTTTATCGATAATATTTTCAGCGAAATGTCATCTCGCTATCTTCAAGACATTTTCATTTTTGACGATTTTTTACTACCTGCAGTTGTTACATCTACTGTGGGAAATATGTATGCAAATCTTCTTAATATTATCTGAGAAAGTAAAGATTTTATGAAAAGATTACTGGAGCTTCTATATAAAGGGTGTTTCATTAAGACGGATTATATATAAGGATGTTTCATTAAGACGGATCAAAGCCAACAGTAAATAAATCAGTGTTATTGGTGAAAATTTTTTTATTTCTCTATTGAATCATGTTATTTAAGACATGCCAATTGTGTGAAAAATAATATTGCCCAAATGTCCTCCAAGGCTTCGGCAGCGCATCTCTACTCGATGGTCAAAATTGTTGATGACGTCACTGCATAGTTGCTCCTCGATCTCACCAATATTATCTCATCTTTCAGCTGTTGAATTGTTGTTGGCTTGTTGGCATAGACCTTACTTTTGAGATGACCCCACAGGAAGAAATCTAAAGGCGTCAAGTCGCACGATCGTGGGGGCCAATTGACTTCTCTGTTTCGGGAGATGATGGGAAATTCTCATTGCATTTCTGTTTGAACATCCATTTTTATAATAAGCTTCGATAACGTTAACACATTGTTTGATTATTAATCTTTCCATGGTTGAAATTGTCAAAGACTTAAGTTGTTAAATCTGAAAGAAAAAGAAAAAAATCATTAGACGCTTAAAATCTAAAATAGCTCTAAGTTATTGGAACACCATTTATTTACTAAGCTTACATTTTATGGAACACGACTAAAATGGGAATAATCAATATAGATTGTTTTTTGCTAATTAGTGCTATTGATTGCCTGTCTACAAAATCAGCTTTATACATCTTGGTTTTTATCTCGATTTGAACCACCAGCGTTATCTATATAAAACTATAATTTCTATATTTACTAATCCTAGGTTAGTAAGAAGACTCTGTAGCGCCAACGAAGTAGTCGGATGTTAGTCATTATTCTTCTCATACCATCGGACCAAAGTAACCAATAAAAATTCGTCTTTAAATTATTTGAGCAAAATATTGAAAAAGAAATAAAACCAGAAATAAATTCTTTTATAAATTAATTTTTTGCGGATGACATGATTAAAAGTACATTAATGAAATAATTCATCGGTTAAAGGAAACTTAAATTATTTTTCTATATAAAGTACGGCCTAATTTTATTTTGGGGTATTCTTTCTCATGTTCTAAATTTGATGAGGATGCAGACAGAAGGTTTTAATGAACTCACACTTTGTCGATTTCTCTACATCTTGTGTTGCCAAGAAAAAAATCAATAAGACACAATCGGGACATTTTGGATATTGCGAATGACCAGACCAGAAACTTTTCTTTCGAATAAATTTTCGTCTTGTTGCTGTAAGTGTTTGAGAAGAATATAGTATAAACTAGATTGCTACATTAGAATCAGTCAGTCAGTTAAGTGCCATACGTGATATACACTTGGGCGATCATGTCTCTCCACAACCTCCTCGCCTAAAACAGTATTGACTCTTTCAGTTAAATGTCATACGTGATAACTGCTTGGGCGATCATGTCTCTTTCGATTCATGACTGGGTTGGTAGAAGGGGGACAGCGCTCAAAGCTAGAGGACCCAACCTGTCTTCCTATTCAAGTGATAGATCTATACCTTTCCTAAGAGTATTTGCGCGTAAGTGAAAGTAACGAACCTGACTAGAATTCGAACTCGGCTCTATCGTGTTTTCATTTCGAACCGTTGTCCATTAAACCACATTCTAGCTTAGAATGCATAACAGAAAAATGTCGTAGTGGTGTAACAGTTAACAAGCTTGTTTTTTTAGATCAAATACGACTGGATAGTGATTTCGATCCTCACTGGGTGCCCCATACTTTTGGCCTTGGGCTACATCTAAGCTACAATTAGAAAATCACCACTGAGGTCTTCGACCTGCTGTAATGGTTAAAAGCTTGTCTCGCTAGATCAAGTACGACTGCACAGTGACTTCGATCCTCATTGGGTACCACATAAGCGAATTTAGTCTTCTCCCTTGTATAAACTATGAATATTAGTTCTTTGAATTATTTCGCTTCTTTCTGTCGACTCGTGCAAATTGACGGCATTGAAATTCACAGTTCGCGGCATTTGAAACTTTATATTTAGTTGTTGATGGACTTCTTGTATGCTAATTATTTTCTTTTTGTTTTTCATTTTGATTTTTCTGTGTACGTGTGTAATAAGAATAGATAGGCTAGCCTATTGCCCGGTCAATACTCCTCCCACTTTTCTTGAACAAGTATAGGGACTCATCCCTTGTTTCCTGTTTAGGAAGGGGTTCCCGGAACTTTTCCTTTTCTCTGGCTTCCGTAATACTACTGTCGTAAATCTCTTGTGATGTGTGCGGTCTGTAGCAATGTCTCTTCATACTGAGGGTACCGGTTGGCAGTTCTTTGGTTGCTCTTCTCGACTGGTAGTTAGGAGCCCTAACTCATTTGTAGCTTCTTGAGTGGCAGCTCTGATCAACAGTTGCATAATATCGGGCTGTCTGTAGCGCCATGTCGCGCATGGAATGGTGTCCCTGCACGCACCTCAAGTGGGAAACCCTGGGGCCACATTATGTTGCAGTCTGCGTCAGTTCATTTCTGTCCATGTCTCATACGATGACCTTTTGTTATTATTACTTTAGGCCTTTCCACTATCAACATGACCATAAAACAATATAAAAATAAACCTAAACCAGATCTAATAAATCGGCTAAACCCTTTATCATTTCCTTTTCCAACATCCGTGACATTCGATCTAATATCTGCATTGTAGAATCGTTCCTCGTTGAAAAGTCTCCTGATATACTAGTTTTCTGTGAGACCAACGTTGGGCACTGTCACTGGATGTAACCAACGCCTTTATGTGCATGTGTCCTCACGGACAGGACCCAAAGAGTGTGAATTGAATACCCGGTTAATGCAGTGGAGAACTTTCAGAGGGAAAATTAACAGGTGATAACTGATAACTGACATCCATTAAACATGGCACGTGGAACTAGAACAGTCTACCCCAGTGAGTGAAATAAAGGGTTCAGTTTGACATTCCAAACAGCTGAAGAAGGCCGAAGCATACAACGGCCGAAACGTTGTAATAAAAATGGCGACAAAGATGAGGACAATAGTTCAAATAATGTAAATAATGAACATCTAATGCATGGTTAAATGGTAGAGTTATAAATGTATAGGACCACAGTGAACCAACCTTGCTAGCAGTAGACCTCTAGCAATTGATTACATATGAGCTTTCACTTCATGTCATTGGAAAATATAAACTAGAGAAGACACAATGAGTTACTCTCCCGCAGGGTTAGCATCAGTCATGATGTTCGAAAAACAGAATGTAGATCATTTTTTGTCATCAGCTTCCATTTTGAACTTACCAAACTGGCGTACTATGAAGACAGAAGTAAGAAGTTGTATCATCGGCATCGATACCAAATTGAGAACGGGGACATCAGGAATGTCGTTGATGAAAATTAAGAACTACATAAGTTCCAGAATAAAGCCTGGAAGATTAATACAAAAAGATCTAAAACAGTGACCGTTCAAGCCATCTTTTATTTTGAGATTTGATTAACAAATTGAATCAGATTAAAAATTCTTCCAGAAATACCATAAATTGAACGTCTTCGAGATATCCAAAGCCACAGCGCCGAACTTCACCGTTTTTATTCTAAGATGCTTAACCAATTTGGTCCTTACATTATTCCTAAGACGACGTCAAGACTAAGCTTGTGTTGTTAAACATATTGCACCCTTGTGCAAATGAATTGAAAAAACTATTTTAGTCTCCTTTCTTTAACCATATGGTCAGTTTTAGACCCACTGGAGTGACAGGGTGTAATCAATTTCTATTTTTTCTTCAGATGAGATCATTTTCACTAGTAGGCAGTAATATGAATCTATTTTCGGGGTGTATGATGAAATTTTTTTGGCTTTGAAAAATATTGTGTCATCCGTGATTGCATCAGATTTTTATCACGCCCAGACACTCTTGTCTCGACTGTCGATTAGTTTTCCTACGATCATTGTCTGTAATTGACGTTACCCCAAGGAAGCGTACGAAAATTGTAATACTGCACAAACAAACTAGCAAGCCTTACCGATGACCAAATCAAAGTACTATAGAATGGCCCAAAAATTCTCCTGATTTAAATCCAATCGAGAATCTGTGGTCAATCTGCAAGGAATGACTTCGTGGAATGGACATACGAAGTACGAATATGTGGACTGGGTCATGTTTTATAGGAAAAATACGAAAAAATACGGAATTATTCGTTTTGTTTCAATTAATTTGTACAAAGTTGTATGTATTTTAAGCACTTAATATACGTTATATTTGAAATGTACAAGAGTGACCAGGCAGGTCCGAGATGTAGACAAATCTTGACGGTGAATTGAGGATGCTGGTTCCTCTCAGTTTCTAACAGAAAGATCAGTATCAGTAATTGTTGTCTATGTTGGACACTCCCGCCTACTATAAGATTAGTAGGAGAGAAGGCCTTGGAGGAACAGTCGAATAGATTGAACAACTGGTCAACCGACACACACTCACTAGTCATGTAATAATCTTCTCTTGTACTTACTGTTTAATATATGATATATCTGTAACACTTGTTTTGTTATTTCTTAAACCATTTACTTGCTCACAGCAGTAATGTGGTTTGGCAGGCAAATCTTTCATCAGACATGGAATCTTATAATTTATTTATATTTGTGATTAAATAACAGATTATATATTTTTCAGTGATTATCTTTTCCTTATAATAAATGCAATGTTATGTGGTCGTTATTTTACAAGATTGAATTATAAAATTAATCATGCAATTTCAAACTCATTTTAATTTAGGAATATTTCTCTTGGATATCTATCTATCTTATCTATTTTTAGGAAATGGACTAAATCCGACATATTTTTAATTTATTTGTTTAAACGTTATTTGTAATATATACTCATATTTGAGTAGACGTTCTGTTTTTATTTATTAAACAGTAGATTTATTTATTTCTCAGGCTGTTTGTATCTGTCTCTCTCGAAATTTCCTAATAGCTCTGACTGTTCATTATCTATCTATCTATCTATCTATCTATCTATCTATCTATCTATCTATCTATCTATCTATCTATCTCGTTCTTTTATCTCTCTGTATTTTTCTTTGTATATATCTATCCCGAAATTTGATAATAGTTCTCACTGACTGTTCATTATCTATCTATCTATCTATCTATCTATCTATCTATCTATCTATCTATCTATCTGTGGGTAGTGTAACGTTTATCAACATCTATCGAATCGTAATTTATTGTGTCTGTGTTAAGATAACTTTAGCTCAAACCTTAGCATTTATCTTGGTTAATATGTAAAATTTCTATTAAAATATTATTTTTATGATTTTTCCTGTTAAAATTCTTCTGAATCATGTGCAATTCGTAATGTAATAAAGTACTAAATTATTGCAGAATATGTTTTACCGAAAATCTACATATTGACCAGTCCGTAGGGTAACACATTTGATCATGTACACATTAGATTGGGAATAAAAGGTTCTTGTTTTGTTATGATATCTGTCTTATGTTTATACAGGCTACGACAGAAAATAACTCCCACATATACCTCCCATATATACCTCCTACATAATGGTAAGATATTCGTCTTCATCTAGTTAATGTCTTTCATGGCGGCATATGTGGGAGGTATTTCTGCCGTGACCTGTAGAGTTATATTCAGAAAATTAATGTCAAATTGATTGGCTATTGAATTGATGTGGCCTCGTACAAATGACAGAAGATGATACTCTTTTGTGGCATTGCATTTTCTCTCCATATTGAGAAGTTGCAAGGAATATTTACCTTGTCTCGAGGAATAAAATCATAAATATAAGGAAATGTCACAATGAGTTACTGACTTTCAATCACGAAATCTCTGCTGCAAATGTGTTCTTTATTCTGGACGACGACCAATGTTCCCCCAACTGTAATTAAAGAAAGCCCGAAACTGATAATAGCACTACAAGTGGCACAACGATCGAATACAATCTACACACCCATTATAGCTCACCTCCATGAATCTGTAGCTGAACGTAATGGGATTGGTTGAATTACGACTGAATAGTGAGTTCGATTTTCACTGTGGCCTTGTGTCACATCTAAACTACATTTCGGCCTTGTGTCACATCTAAACTACTCTTAGAAAATCACAATAATCGCATTGGTTAAATTACGACTAAATAGTCAGACCCCCACTGTGTATGACGATAAACTACATCCGCGTCCCGGGTAAGGCGATAAACCAGAAATAGATTTTTGACAAAACAAAATATTATCAGCAATAAAAACTTTGTCGGCATTAAATAACCCATTGAGGTTGATATGCCATTAAAACATCAAACCAAACCAAACCTCACTGGAGGGCCCCATACTTTCTGCCTTGTGCCACATCTTAGCGAAGTTTAGAAAGCCACAATAATGGTATTGGTTGCATTATGATTGAATGAGTTAGATCCTCTCTAGGTGCTCCATAGTTTCAGCCTTGTGCCAAACTAAGACACACTTAGAAAACTAGCATAATGACGTTGGTTGATTTCGGGGTTGATTTACCGCAGTAATAAACTCGTTTCTGTATATATATGTGTGACGGTAACAGAGCGAAAAAGTACAAGACTTAATCGAGATGATAAGTTTTGCAGAATAAAGTTCCAGAACAAGAGGACCACACGTATCATTTAACAAAAGAATCTTCTATCCAAGAGAGATAACTCCTGCTATATTAACTTTTTAAGAAAAGTTATCGGTTGATTCAGAAATGAAATTAATTTTCAGACGACATATCACAGCACAGAAAAAACTTTACTGGTCAAAATAGAAGTCATTAAGAATCTGAACTTTTTTGTTAAACAAAACACAGTTTTATTTATTCCGGTAATCTATATCGATGCTACGAACATATAGAAGCACACCTGTTGATGGCCGGAGATTGACAACTGATCTCTCTTCTGATCCTGCATAATTTACTCAATGGAGTAAAAACTGGTTGATTACATTCAATGCATCAAAACAAAAACAAAAAAAACTTACTTACATTCCATCATCGCTGATCAGACCCCGACAGTCACGATGAAGGGCTGTCTCCTTGAGGAGGCATCGTGCCTTGAAAGACTATTAGGCCTCAAACTCGAACTTGACCTTAAGTTGAACTCAAACGTACGATCCATTGCTAAGGATGCATATAAAATGGTGGATTCTCTATACCTCTCTAGTAAGTACCTCACTCCTCCTGCTATCCTTTATCATTACAAGATCCAGAACAGGCCCAAAATGGAGCGTCTACGAGCCCTTGTGGGTGATGAATTATTCACTAATGGCAAAAGCCTCTCACTGCTCTACAGCTACTTCCACGGAAAATGTTCGGACGAACTATATTCCCAGGATCCGCCACGGCAAATCTTCACGGCTTGAATACGTCATGCTAATTACATAGTAGCAAACAACACACATTCCTTCCGCATTCCACTAGTGAGAAATAAGTTCCACTCAAACAGCTTCTTCCCACGATCCATTGTTCTGTGGAACAGAACTCCCAAGAGGATGTTTCCCCGATCACTATAATCTTAACCTGTCCAAGTCTAAAGTTAACCGTTATCTTCCTCTCCTATCCGCACAAATTGCCTTCTAACTTAACCAAGCACCTCGAGTAGGAGTTGGTTTGTGAAAGGTTTGGTGAGCACGTTGAATGAGGCAAAGTTCTGTTGCTCAAATCTTTCAACTTCTGGAGCGTTGGTTGAACGACGTTTTTTTCAGTGATATTCACCCTATACAAGTCCCAAGAGCCACTCGAACTAGAGGGTGACATAGTAAGAGGCACAGTTTATGCTGATATGTGGGGAAGATAATGCTTAATCTTAGATTTGAACATGTTAATATTTCAGCGATCAAGAAAAACACCCTCTTGGAAGTCAATTCCACAGAGCAGAGGGCGTGCAAGAGGATTGGAACTTTTCTCTTGACCAATGCTGAATTGTCTATAGAAATAACATCTTGAATGTCAGGAAATGTCACAACGGGTTATTTAATTTTGATCAGTAAATTTTTAATTCTGCACCTCCATCATATTTTCCCCTAACCCTAACCCTAACCCCTAACCCTAACCCTAACCCTAACCCCTAACACTAATCCCCAACCTTAACCCCTAACCCTAATTCAAATACAAACCACACACCAATCATAATCCAACTCCCTGACCTCGATAAAATGTGAAGAATTGTTAAATGGGTTTCACATGATCTATTTGTCATTAAGGACAGGAGATTCTACCGAAAAATCTCTAGAAAGGATCGCCACAATTGATGAAAGATCCTTTCCAAGGGAGGCTGAACACGTGGAATTCAAAAGTTATATTTTTAACCGCACAACCGGTATTTGAGATATTAAAAATATGACAAAATTAACATCTGGAAGAAACCTCGTAGCGACATGCCTGTCATGATCGCTAAGAAAAATCAGTTGGAAGTGCTGCCTTCATCACCCTACTTGCTACCAGCCAGGTTCCTATTTTGTTTTTTCACGGTTGTAAAATATTCTCTGAGAAAGTTCAGAGATAATCATCCGATTTTTGTAAGTTTATTTGAGTTTGTTATAAAAGTTGAAAAGAAATTCATATCAATATTGAAAGAGGAAAAAAAAAAGAAACATTCACAAAGAACAACATCGAATAATGGCGCTTGTTCAGTAAAGATACATTTATCTCGTAAAATATTTTCTTGCAATTTTTTGTAAGAAAATAGTTTTTTTGTACGAAATAAATGGATCATTATTTCACAGATATCATTATTTTCGGAAAAAAATATTAATCTATTCTTTTGCTTTTTGATTAAGAAGATTTTCATACTTGATTAAAAAGATCCGTTTTTTTTTACAGAATTCTAAGTATAGATGTTGAAAAATCATTTAACACCAATAGACTGCTGCTTAGAAATTATAAGAACGATGAAATTTAAATTTTAAGTGGCTTTGGAATTTGGCTAATTATAGAGAAATTCCTATCAATTATTCATTTGTAAATAATTATTTTATAGCTTCAACAAACTGGAAGTTACTTGATATCGAACTTAAAGGCCGCCTCCTATAATGCCATTTTCCTTCGACTTTTGGGTTTTACATTTACTGTACGGATTTTTTATTCTTTTTCTCCTTTCATCTTTTTTAGCCTCGGAATCTGTGACGTAGTTTTTAGTAGGCGATTACGTCGCTATCACAATGCTCACGAGCGAGATGCACTGATATATCATATTTATTGTTAATCACGTGATAGGCTCGAAAACACGCATTGCATTAAAAGAGGGTTGGTCAAGGCCCAAGGGTCAGACCGATGACATTTTTGTTACCAATTCCATGTGCACATATGATTCCCACTAAAAATACGTCTTTGTGCCATTTTTATTTCCAGAACACGTAGATAAATAAACACTTTATTTATATTTTTACAGCAAATTTTTTCGATGTAAATGTGTAAGTTAATTTATTAGGGTGTAGTTTTGCATAGTAAATTGTTTTATTTGAAATGTTCGTAGGAATGGACATGTGACTAATATAGAGAAAAATCATACATTTTATTAATAAATGTTATCAGTAACAGTTTACAGGCGAAAAGGAATTATTGCAGTATTAATTTCGAATAGCCTAGCATGTAGTTTCAGTTGTCGACGAGTCTTTCAATCTCTAGCCGCTTTTTTTCCTTTTGCATAGTAAATTGTTTTATTTGAAATGTTCGTAGGAATGGACATGGGACTAATATAGAGAAAAATCATACATTTTTTACTTATCTTTTTTTCCCTACTGCTTTCATTTTTTCTTTTTTTTTCTTTTTCGATATTATGTTTTTTTATGTTATCTTTGCCTTACATTTTATTCTCCATTTTCTTTCTTATTCTGCTTTGCTTTTTCTTTGATTATTTTCTTCTTTAAATTTTTCTTTTTTGTTTTCATCCTCGTTCTTTCTTTTTCTTTTTTCATTCTTTTTTCTTTCAATTTAATTTTCATTCCTTATCTTTTTACTTGTTTCTTCTTTTTCTTCGTGTTTTCCTCTTCCTTTCTTCTTTTTCGTCGTTTATTTTTCGATTTTTTCCGTTTTTTTTCTTCCGTTTCTCATTTCGTTTTGTTTTCATTCATCTTCCTTTTTCTTCATGCTTTCATTTTTTCAGAATTATATTTTTCATTCTTTCTTTTTCTTCGAGTTTTCAATTTTTCCTTCTTTTTTCTATTATTACGTAATTTCTTCTTTTTATTTTTTTTGCAATTTTTCTTTTTGTTATCGGGAATAAAATGAAATAAAAAACGATGAAAAAATAAACAATGAATAGTTTATTTTTTTATCGTTTTTTATTTCATTTTATTCCCCGATATCTTTATTCTTTCAATTTTCTTTTTTTCTTATCTTTTCCATTTATTTTTCTTTGTCACCATTTTCATTTTTCTTTTCTGATTGCTTACTAATCATTATTCCTGATTCTTTCTCGTTTCTTTTTGTTCTTCTAATACTACAAAATCTCCATGACATTTTTATATATCGAAACTTACATGTCTAATATTCATACAGGACAAAAGGTGAGAACATCATAAGATCCGGGATTTATTCTAAATATGGTCGATTTTTCCATGTCTGTGGAAACGATCTGAAAACCAAAGTGTTGTTTGACACAAGACTTGCCAGTGAAATTGTTCTCACTCGTTGTGTCAGCTGACCTTGTACGGTGGGTGCTCTATTCCATAAACTGTAAATAAGATCTGCACAGCAAGGTTGCAGTGTAAACAACAGGTGGCCCATATGAAGTTGTTGATGAAACATAAATGTACTCAAGCATCTTCACTGCCCATATGGGCGTGTTGATGATACGTGTATGCTCAAGCAGCTTCACTGCACATATGTGGGTCTTGATGAAGCATATGGGTGAGTTGATGAAATATATGTGCTCAAGCATCTTCACATCTCAAATTTGTGTGTTGATGAAATGTATATGTGTTGAAGAATCTTCATTGTTCATTTGTGTCTGCGGATGAAACATAAGTTTGCTCAAATACTTCCATTGTCTACGTGTGCGTTGATGAAACGTAAATTGGTTAAAGCATCTTTATTGACTATGTCAGTGTGATGAAACTTAAGTGGCTTCAAGAATTTTCATCATCCATATGTGTGAGTTGATGAAACATAAGTTTGTTCAAGCATATTTATTGTCCATATGTGTGTGTTGATGAGAGATAAGTGTACTTAAGCATCTTTATTGTCCATATGTGTATGTAGATGAAATACAAGTGTGCTCAAGCAGCTTCATGGCCTGAATGTGTGTGTGCATGAAATATAAGTGTTCTCAAGCATCTTCATTGCTCATCTATGTATGTTTTGATAAAGCATAAGTGTCATTAAGCATCCTCATTGATCACATATGTGTGTTTGATGAAGCATCAATGTACTCAAACATCTTCACTGACCATATGTGTGTGTTGATGAAAGAAGTGGGTTCAAGAATCTTCAGATGTGAGTGTATAAGAAACATAAGTGGCTTAAGAATAGTCATTGCCTATATGTGAGTGTTGATGGAGCATAAGTGTGCACAAGCATCTTCACTGCCCATATGTGTGTGTTGCTGAAACATAAGTGTGATCAAACAATCCTCTTCAAGAAAGATTAGGTATCTCTCCTCGCAGTTTTGGGAATATTCGAAAAGAAGAAGTCGACATTTTTAATTACTACGTCTTCTTTTTTATTTTTGAATATTACTACATTTGAAATTCTTACAAACTTGGAATTTAGTTTTTGTCGGGACTGACATAGTGTAAAGACTATTTCAATGGCTTTATAATATGAAATATATGAATATAATTTGTGTTTTTGAATTAACTTTGTTAAAAATTAATAAATACATGACAAAAGCTGCTAAAAGTTGTCGAGTTTTGATTTGCTTTAAAACAGCCTTTTGTCTAATAATTGTTTTAATAAACCCCGTTTAATTATTGATTCAAACCTTGAAAGCGAATTGAAGAATTGGTTTGTCAGATCCACACACCATGGTAGTTGTCGTCAGACTACAGAGGTTAAACCCCTTATCTTATTTTTATCCTCTTATGTATTACACAGTCATTATGCCTTTTTTTTAAAGATTATTGTTGGTTTTGTTGTTGTTGTCCTTGCAGTTCTTCTTCTTCTTCTTCTTCTTCTTCTTCTTCTTCTTCTTCTTCTTCTTCTTCCGGATAAACCCAGATGTTTATCGTTGGGTGGCAGCCAGTGAAGGAGAAAGCAAATGTCTTGGAGAAAGTAATGGGTAAGTACTCCACTATTTCCCCCAAGAAGTCATGTCACTTCACACATAATGAAGAGAAGAATTCTGTGCAAAGCGATGCTCACCAATATTCTGAAAACACAAAGCATTAAAAAAAGTCTCTCGACGCTTTTCCCAATAATATTATTACAACTTATTTAATACTTTTGACATTACGAGAATTGTTTTCGTTCTTTTTCTTCTTCTGATAATGTTCTTTTTTTTTCTCGTCCCAATGCAACCATTTATTCTTTTCTTCTTTTCCTTCTTCCATTTTTTCCTTTTATATTCTTTTGCCAGCGTTCATTTTCATTCTTCGCAACATGTTATTCATCTAAAACGCTCTAAGCTCTACTTATTCCACATAACTCATTACTTCTTGCTAAACGATTTATTTTCTATTATGTCTCTTTATGATCCTAATTAAATTGATCTTTTGATAGATTTAGATTGTCTACTTTCTTTCAGTCAATTTACTTCACTTTTCTCGGGATTTTATCCCAATTAATCTAATTATCGACAGTGTAAACCGTAATATACATATTTCTCTAGTAGCTAAAGCTTGTAGTACCGTTCTAAATGAAATATCTCTCATTTTTATTATATGGATCAAGAAGTCAGAATCGGATATTGGTTGTAATACAGAAACTGCGCCACCTTCTGGCAAAATGGTTTTATTGTGCTACCTATATTTGTAGTTGTTTCTACGGAACAATTAGGTAGTATCATATCTAGGGTAAGACAGATGTCATGAGCGCCACTTTGGGTGGGGACCTGACAACTGAAGAAATAACACAGGTCAACACGATTTTTGGTGCCAAGAAACAAAACACGTCCTTTAGCTAATTTGATGTTGCTGATTCTGAGAATGACTTTAGTTTTTCATGGTTAGCTACAATATTCGCTGTACTGAAATTGTTCATTTTTGGAAAAAAAGATCAATTTATGAATTTATAAAGGTCGTAAAAACCCATCAATTTTCAGGCAAGCCGAGCAATTTATGTCAGTCAGCTGAAATAAAGTATTTTTTATTACAAAAAAGAGTTTTTGAGTCAAACATTTTAAAATAAAAGTTCTGAATTTATGGTCAAAACTTAAATTAGCTTACAAGCTTTATCAGTAATACACTTTAGAAAACCTGATAATTAAGGTGACATCAAAAAAATGAAACCCTAAAATCTTCTGTTTGATATTCATAAATTTATTCCATCACTTTTATCCCTTCACTAACGAAGGAAACCAAACACATTGAGGGCATTTTGTTTTCACAATTGGAAAAAAACTCCAACTAAAGACATCCCAATTGAATGCACCTGTTCCATTGTATATGAGACTGCTTGAGTATCAAAGGGGACTTAAATAACATGGAACATGACAGACAATCAAGAATGAGAAAATTTAACCATAGTTCTTATTGTTAATTTAATGATTTGAGGAAAATACTTGTTCGTATTGGCATATTCAATCATTTTATTTTTAAAGACTTAGAGCCTGATTGTTACTGCAAAAACAGTATTTCTCAAGAAATAGACCAGTATTTGTCTATATTTCTGAGATGAGGTATTATGCCCATTATTTACATTAATCGGACTATAGCCCTCACCTTTGTCGCCATATTTATCACAACGTTTCTCCTCTGAAAATTCTCCACTGCCGTATTGAACTCACACTCTTTGGGTCCTGTCACTTGATCTAACCAACGCCTTTATCCACTGTGCCATGTGTCCTTGAGGACATCTGGGTATGAATTTCTGGGTATTATAAACCTAATAGGAGATAACTGATAACTGACATCCATCAAACATGGCACGTGGAACTAGAACAGTCTACCCCAGTGAGTGAAATAAAGGGTTCGGTTCGAAATTCCAACCACCTGAAGAAGGCCGGAGCGTACAACGGCCGAAACGTTGTGATAAATATGGCGACAAAGATGAGGACACTAGTCCGATTAATGTAAATAATGTAGACCAGTATTTGTTGGATTAAATGCGAATTAAGAGATTTCTACGATTTTATTTTGAGAAATATTAGCATCGTTCAATATCATATATACAGAAAACAAATGAAAAAATGTTTTTTTTCCCCAAAATTTCTGTACAGCATAAAATGTAGCTAACCAAGCAAGAGTCATTTTCAAATTCAATGCTCTCAAATTAGCTAAAAAAGATTGTTGATGCCTCGACACCATTTCACAGTTTTTTTGTTGACCAGTGTAATTTGTAGTTTAACGTTCATTAATTAAGCAACAAGCAATAAATCATTTGGCAAATATTTAGATCGCTGCTATCAAGTCAATATGAAAGTATCAAGACCTGAAGAGCCTCTAAAATGCATTGTTCAATATGGAGATGAAATGGTGTTTCCAAATATTACAATTGCTGTTCAAATTATGCTAAAAATTGTGATTCCCTTAGAGAATTGCGATGGATCTTTCAGGAAGTTGAAGCAATTTTTCTGCTATTCAAGAGCAACCACGGGCTAAGCTAGGCTGTTTGACCTAACACAGTTGAGTGTGAAGAGGATATAAAGGAAACAGAAAATGTTAAAATTGAAGGCAGGATTATGTAGGGTGTGAAGCTTTCCGTATGATCACCAACGTTAAGCAATGTCGAACCTTGTCAGTACCTAGATGGGTGACCGCTTGGGAATACCAGGTGTGTAAGCTTGGATGTGCGGCTGGTGTAATGGATAATGGTTCGGAATTGTTAATCGGCTAGCTGTGTTCCAATTTCAGTTGTGTTCGTTATATCACTTACGCACAAATACCCTTGGGAAATATAAGAATGTCTCTCTTCTCCCCAGAGCTATGGGTTAATTATTAAAACCTTTTAACAATACGTCATTATTATCGCCACAGAATTTTTACAATATAAAAATATTTTCTGCCTTGAAATAACCTGCAAAGGTTTTATGAGCAGAAAATCAATCAATCAAAAATAAATTTATGTAAGTGAAATCAAGGAAGGTGCGTTTTTAGACCCAACCAGAACGTTTCGAACACAAGACGACGCTTCATCATCATAGTTATTTCGACTAAAATCCGTGATTTCTTTTCTTCAGCATAGCTGATTTTTTCTGAGCATGTCCGTCTGCCTATTTAGATTTCTTCAAAGAGCCAAACTCTCGTTGATACTGAAACTATGCTGACAGATCTCCAGCTATAATTCGAATATGTGCCTTAACAGAGGTAGATACGGTTTTGAATTTAGAGTTTTCTTTCTCCGACACCGGTTGCCAACCACGGATAATCAAGCCTTCCCTTCAATTTAGCCCGTATTTGGGGTAGATGAGATAGATTCATATCTTCCCAATGTGTATTTGTGCGAAAGTGAATGCAAACTCTGTCGACCAGAATTTGAACTCGGTTCAGCGATTTCCTGTCCCGATCCTCTAATCATTACACACTGCCTGCAAATCAATCCAAGCGACTTACTTGGAAATAATGTCGAGAAGCGTCAACGATATTCAAGAGGCAAACGGAGACCGCACAAACTGTAAAGTCGATTTTTATTGGCTGAAATCCAAAAATATTCACACCAATAAATAGCTTAAATCATAACGACTGCATTCAATCAACAGAGGCCGTGAAGCTGGCTGGGTGGTGATCGATCATGGTTGGGTCAATTAGAGAAGGATGTTTGATATTTTTAGGGCCTCGAGGACCCATGGATACTAAGGAATAAACGACATTGATGATATTTTTCTGGGCACCACATGGGTGTTGAGGTATGCGTATCTCCTTGTGGTGCCATTATATTTTCATAATGTCTAAATTTAAAAAGTAAATAATAATCTAAAATATTCATTTTGGGGAATATTTTGTTAATATATTTGGGTGTTAACTATTTGCCGATAGCTGGGTTTGGTTTGGTTTGTTTTATGGCATATCAACACCTCAGTGGGTTATTTAATGCCGACAAACTTTTTTATTGCTGGTAATATGTTTTTCTTCAAAAATCTATTTCTGAGAATATTTTTTCTTGAAGAAATCTATAGCTGGTCATATTTTTTCAAAGAATGTATAGCTGTTTGTATTGCTGGTATTTTTTGTTTTTAAAGTATTGGTAATAATAATTTTTCCTTAAAAAATTATTACTGGTAATAATTTTTTGTTTATTAGAAAGTATTTCTGGTATTAAAACCTATTTCTACACAAGGTTGAGTTTAAACTATTTGCCCATAGCTGGGTTTGTTTTGGTTTGGTTTGCTTTGTTTTACGACACATTAACCTCAGTGGGTTATTTAATGCCGACAAAACTTTTATTGCTGGTAATATTTTGTCAAAAATCTATTTCTGGTAATAATTTTTTCATTTAAAAAATGTATTACTGATGTTTCTAGCCCTTCCTGTTGCACTGCGACTGTGTCTAAGTAAATTAAACGTCTTAACTTTGAATATCTGAAAATTGACCAAAATACAGAATGCCCATAAACTTCATGTGCACAAAAAATTTATAACTTTATTTGTATTTGCGATAGAAATAATCTGTAAAAAATGTTATAAAGTTTAATGTACCTAGTTTTTAGTATAGCTAAAATAACTAATGTGATTTCAGGCGTTACTGTAAATCAGTTGGCAAATGTTTGCCGTGAACTGCAAAATCGTATTGCCTTTTGTATTGCTAATGATGGAGGACATGTGGAAACTTCAATTTCAATAAAACCTTAAAAAATATAGATTTACTTCTTTCTAATCCTTTTTAAAAGTTATTTCTATCGCAAATTCAAATAAAGTTATAAATTTTTAAAGTGCACACAAATTTTATGGACACCCTGTATAATTTATATTGAAATGGATTAAATAGAAAGAAAGCGCATGAAATAAGCTTTAAAATGACACATAATTTTCTAAACCTTGTATGAGTTTTATTCTTAAAAATGTTACAAACAGATTAAAACGTAAATTAATTTCTGAAGAAACAAAGAAAAGGAAGAAACAAAGTCAAATAGCTGATGTGTCATTACTCTTCTCCGTTAGCCAGAGTGGGGCACATTCTATGATAATTTAATTAATAATAATTAAGAATAATTAAGATTAATGATAATGAGCATTTGAAAATAATTATAAGTTCTATAAATAGGAAGTAAATTGCTATCGCGCGGAATCAGCTAAAACTGGTTATTTAAGAGCGTGTTCCTGATAACAGTATATTTTTTTTTTAAATTGTGAAGAAGAATAATATTGTTGGAAAATGATTATCTTTTTCATCAGCTACGAGTGTCATTTTTTGAAATAAACTGCTTATTCTGATTATTGTTACAACATATATTAAAAGGCATCACCCAAAGGAAAGACATATTTCGAAATTAGCCTCCATTATGTATGATGAGTGGGCAAAGGTCAAATAGAATTTCAAGTGATTATTGGCAATCAAATTCTGAAATTAATGGTTTTTGAACAAAACGAAGAAAGAAAAAGAAGACAAAAGAACAAAAAAAAAAAAAGAGAAGAAGAAAAAGGTGAAGAAAAAAGACGTCAAAGGTATGAAAAAGGCAAAATGAAAGGGAAAAATAGAAAAAGAGTGAAGAAATAAAAAGAACAAAGATAAAGGACAAAAAGGAAAGAAAAAAACAATAGAAATAAAAGCAAAGAACAAAAAAGGAAGAGACAGCGATAAAGAAAGAAAGACAAAAGAAAAAGGAAAGAAAGAAAAGGAAATAAAGAATAAAAAATAAGAAAAAAGAAAAAAGAGAAACAATAATAAAAGAAAGATAAAAAACGGAAGTAGAAAATAAAGAGAAAAGGAGGAGGAGAGACGAAGAAGTGTAGATAAAGGGACGAGCTCCCATAAAAAATATGAGAAAATGTAAAACTATGAGAGGGGAAAGAAGAAGTATGAGGAGGAAAAATAAGAATAAAAAAAAATACAGAAATGTGAAAAATGAGAGGGAAAGGAAAGAAAGAAAGAAAGAAAGAAAGAAAGAGGAAAATTGAGGGGGATAAAGAAAAACAGGAAAAATGAGGGCGAAAGAAAAAAGAAAGAAGGAAGAAAGACGAAAGATGAGGGGGAAAGAAAGAAGAAAGAGAAAATGAGGGGAAAAGAAAGAAAGAGGGAAAACGGGGAAAAGAAAGAAAGAAAGAAAGAAAGAAAGAAAGAAAGAGAAAAATGAGTGGGTAATGAAATAAAGAAAAAAGAAATAGGAAAATTGAGGGAGGAATAAAGAGCAAAAATGAGAGCGAAAGAAAAAAGAAAGAAGGAAGAAAGAGGAAAAATGAGGGGGAAAAGAAAGAAAGAAAGGAAGAAAGAAAGAAAAAAGAAAGAGGAAAAATGAGGGGGGAAAGAAAGAAAGAGGGAAATGGGGGAAAAGAAAGAAAGAGAGAAAGAAAGAAAGAGGAATACGAAGGGGAAAGTAAGAAGGAAAAAAGAAGAAAGACGAAAAATGAGGGTGTAAAGAAAGAAATGAATAAGAAAGAGGGAAAATGAGGAGGTAAAGAAAAATGAAAGAAAGAAAGAATGAAAGACGAAAGAGAAGAGGGAAAATGAAAAAAGAGCAAAAAAGAGGCCGAAAGAAAAAAGAAAGAAGGAAGAAAAGAAGAAAAATAAGGGAGAAAAGAAAGAAAGAGAAAAACAAAAAGTCAATATAAGGAAAGGGTAAAAAAAAACTATAAAGAAATAAGAAGCGCTAAATGAATGTCGAAGTCGGAAGAAAAAAGAAAGAGAAAAGAGGAAGGATAAAGACGAGAAGAATAACATGCAAGAATGGAGAACGTGTAGAGAAAAAGTCGGAAGAATCATCAGAAAAAGAAAGAAAAAAAATGAGAAGAAAGAGAAAAAGAATGGGAAAAGGAGGAAGAAAGAAATAAAGGTAGGAAAAGAAGGAAGAAATAATTAAAAAAAGAAAAAGAAGAACTAGAAACATGAAGAGGAAAGACATAAAGAAAGAAAAAGAACAGAACAAAGAAAAAAAGAATCAGGAACAATGCTAATCGAATATAAAAAAGAAAGAATTAATAGCAATGTTTATTTACTCTTAGACGCAAAAAAATGGTTTATCAATAAACGGTATTAAGAAGTTATAGCCTGAAAGAACCTTCCACCTGATATGACATGTTTTTATAATTAGGTGACCTGACAATTCGCACACCACGCCTTAGAATATCTGTAGATTTTTACCATTTACCTATTTATTGATTCAGAGAATTACATTTGGCTTCCGGATCCGGAACAATGAAATGAAAAATCCTCGACCAAATGTCTTCGTCTCAAAATGAATGTTACAATAAGCAATGCAGAATTTTAAACAATCCACACTTAGGTAGTTCGAGGCGACACTTATCTGCTCCATTGTTACTTTCATATTAACATTGTTTGATTTCTCACACTGAGAAACGATGTAGTTTTAAAGAGAATAGGAACTACAAGAGAAACGTAAGAATATAAGTTATAGCTCATTGGAAAATGACGATCTTTTGCATCAATTACGAAGGCCATTTTGCGAAATAAACTGCTTATTGTGGTTATTGTGACTTATTTTAAAACTATAACCAAAAGGAAAGATTCGAAATTTGGCGCCCATTGCGCCGAAATGATGGCCGAAAACGAGACGATAGAATTTCAAGTGATTGTTAGCAATCAGAAAGAAACTTTACTGATAATGGGGAAAGAAGGTGTGGAGAATTTGACCTTCACAGGGCACGTTGAAAGCAAAAGATAGAGAAAGTGAATAACCTCTCTAATAAGAAATAACAGGCAGTTTCATGCTAGACGCAATCGTCTGGCCTGACGATTGCGTCTAGCATGAAAAAGCCTGTCGCCTCTGAGTGTTGACTTCAATGTTCACTTATATATATATATATATATTATAATTAAATTACTTTAAGAAATCATTTTAACCTGTTACCTACCATCGCATGAGAAAGTACAATCATAGTATTGAAAAATGAAAGCCTTTGTGTAACGATTCTAAAATATTTTTGTGATAATCTGTTATAATTAAAAATATAATAATAAGTTTCTCTACTTTGTATTGAACACTTGTTTTAAAACGTAAATGCTTCGAACTGCGGATTTTTACTCCATTTGTTCTTTCTCTCATTATATATATATATATATATATATATATATATAAGTTGTTTTTCAACAGATGGCGTTCCCAGAACTGCGTGCGTGTAGTTTCAGATGGTAAAAGGAAGTTTGGAATTAAGTCTATGTCATTTCGCCGAAATGTAAACGACTTTTACACAGCGTTAAACATGTCGGATTTCGCGCCAAAGAAAGTGTATTTGCGGGGAAATTTACTACACTACCTTATTCAAAAGAAATCTGTAGCTGAAGCACACATAATTCTTGTTGAGACATACGGCGACCATGCTCTGTTGGAAACACCATGCGGAGATTGGTTTAGACGTTTTAATGATTTTGAATAAAGAACGCTCTGGCGCACCGGAAAAGTCTGAAGACAAAGATTTGGTAGCATTACTCCATAAAGACTCATGTCAGGCGCAAGTTGAACTTGCAGAATCCTTAGGAGTTGATCACACAACAGTTTCGAAACGTTTGAAAGATTTAGGAATGGTTCAAAAGCAGGGACATTTGGTGCCGTTTGAGTTGAAGACGAGAAACGCCGAACGGCGTCTTTTCACGTTTGAACTGCTTCAATGGCAGAAAAGGAAAGTTTTTTTGCATCGTATCGTGACCGCCGATAACCCGAAGTGTAGAAGATCGTGGGGTAAGCCAAGCCATGCATCAACATCAGCGGCAATTTGAATATCCATGGTTCGAAGCTTCTATTCTCGTCCGGTGGTATCACTGTGTGTAGTTTAACACGAGCTGCTCAAACCGACTGAAACCATCAGGAAATAGCGCTATCGGCTACAATTGATGCGTTTGAGTCGAGCAGTGAAGAAAAACAACCGCTATACGAGTAGAGACATGTCAACGTTAGGCTCCATGTTGCAAAATGTGTAAAAACCTACTTAGAAACGTTTAAATGGGAAGTTCTACTCCGTCCGCCGTATTCCGGGATTCGCCCCGTCTGATTATCACTTGTTCCGATCGATGTCACCTGGCCTGGCTGAGCAGCACTTTCATTCTTATGAGGATGCCAAAAATGGGTCGACTCGTGGTTAGCTTCAAAAGACGTGGTAATAATAATAATGATAATAATAATAATAATATATATATATATATATATATATATATATATATATATATATATATATATATATATATTGCTTGTAACTACCCATAATTGGTGTAAACTGCTTCATTGAGTCGATAATTGCTTAGTTTCGTATCCCGAACGTAAACAAACCAATTTCTAGAGAATTAATTCAATACACTTTTTATTCCGACAAAGTTTTTATTACTTCAAAACTGTATTTGAGTAGATACTTTTAAATATGCTAGCACGAAGTTACAAGTCATCGTGGCCGAGGGCTTGAGCGTGCTGGCATTGGTGAAATTGTTGATTACGTTAGATAACACGCTCTCTCCCAGAAACTGTAATTAAGGTCTGCTCAGCTTAGTTGCAGTATAAACCACAGGTGGGGTCTGTGGGTTTTGAATAAACACAAATACAGCTGACCAAGTGTCTGCAATAGGTATTGGCTAGACACCCTAATAGACAGGTATCCTCTAATACGATTGGCCAGACACACACACACACACACACACACACACACACACACACACACATATATATATATATATATATATATAAAAGAAATATAATGTAGTGGTTCTAACGAGAGAAAAGTATGTATATTAAAAAGAAGAGAAGAGAGGTGCCGCTAACGTTTTTGGTTGTAATGTGGATTTATTTAGAAAAAAATATATTATGCTTTGTTTTACATAATTTTACGACACGTGTTTCTGGTCTCGCGACCGTCTTCAGGTAAAAGTGGAGATTTCTACATATTATTAAAAATAATTAATTTTTCTTCATGTTCAATGTGAAATATTCTCGATATGAGACATTCTCTGTTTGTGTGTTGGTAATCCGAATTTCTTTTTAGAATTGTCAATGAAGAGTTCTGCGCGAAGGGTCATAAAACAATTAAGGTTGGTCCAGCGAGTAGTTATCGGCATTTTATCTTTTAATGTTTTAGTGACCCCTATGTGCTCTTGGATCTGTTTCCATTTTGGTGTGTTCCTGTCAGCATGTGTATATATGCGTGCGTATATTTCCCTCCATACATATACTGTTTTACTACGAGGAATTCGTAAACTTATTTGTACTATACACGCATATATATATATATATATATATATATATATATATATATATATATATATATATATATAGTCCCATCCAAAGGCTGAAATTTTGAACTCTTATGCGATATTCATCTTTTGATCAGAAAGACCAAAATTTCTTCAGTTAAATAAAGGAATTGGCCTTACTGTCCCAATACTTTTGTCCCTCTTTTTTGATGGAAGAGTTCCCATTTGGATCGATTAAAGTCAGCAATCTATGAAAAGCATCCATAATTATTGTTAATTTTCTTTATTCACTTACTACGTTTAACTTTCTGTTGTTATGATTCTTCCTTCTGTTTGTTTTTCAAGTGTCCTCTGTGCTACCGTACATTCCGTCTGTAATTCATTCTCTTTGTCTCTTCTCCTGAAACTGGCGTTTCCTTTCGGCGTTTCCTTTCGGCGTTTCCTTTCTGGCTTCTACGTCTTCAGACTGTTTGAGCCAAAAATTGCTTTTATGACACTTTAACTGAAGTTCTCTTTATTGTGCCGTATTGATTATAAGATGCATTTACGTCGGGGTGCACGTACACAAATAAATGAAAAATAAAAACAAACGCCACATCGAGAAATGAGAACTCAACCCTTATTTCTAATATATTTAACTGCTTTATCCAGTGCTTCCCTTGCTCGGACTCGAAAAATTCTGCCTTAGCAGTGTAATAGCGCAGTTGTTCCATCCTCCGAACTTTCTGCTCATCTAATCCCGACGATTGGCTAGCAATACGATCGGTGGCAGCGGAACTACTAGAGAAAGAGTCTGAACCCCGCCAAGCGTAGACCGGGATTTACTTTTAGATACCATTGGGAAAATTAATATAGACCAGCAACCGGAAATTATCCACGCTTGTTTTCGACTTCAAAGGCCTTTATGAACTCATTTTCTGCCTGTCCCCATTCGCTCATTGATCCCGTTTAGAAAACTCGACTTCAAAATCCCATCCGACGGCTATAAAAGGGAAACACTTGAAATCCCATTTTCCTTTTCAATGATGATTTCCCGTTCATCTTGTGAAATGAAATCTATTAATCTTTACTTATTCGAATAGACAGAGTATTTAAATTCTCTCAAGATTATCTTTGAGTCATAGAGTTTTACACGTGATCATGAATTTTCTGACTATTTGGTCCAAAGTTTCTAGTTTTATCTTGTACAGTTGAGGAAGCTTCTAGAATATCTCGTTTTCTTCCTATGAGTATATGAATAGTACTAAGGAAATTTTCTTTTTTTTTTCATTTAGTTCTACTTCATTGAATATTTCTCTATTACTCCAACTTGCTCATAAAGGGCTTTTCATAATGTAGTAGTTCAGTTCTTTTGGTTGATAACTGTTTCCTTTGCACATTTTAACAATTCCAGATTCCTCAGCATTGCCTAAGAACTACGTACTTTCAATTCTTGTCG